CTGGGCGCCATATTTCAGGAAATACCTTGATGCCCTGGAGAGCTTCCAGAAGAGGAGGATGAGGCTGATAGCGGTTCTGGAGCTCATGTCACAGGAGGGTAGCCTGGAGAAGAGCTGGGCATTCCTGAGAGCTGTCTCCAGTCAGTCAGTCAGTCAGTCAGTCTGTCAGTGTCTCCTTTGGCCTGGGCACTGTGCCATGCTCTGGGGCTGTAATCTGGAAGAGGGATTGGGTTTGTTCTGCTTGGCCAAAGAGGGCAGAAGGAAGAGGGGTGGGAGGAATTGGCAAAAAGGCAGATTAAAGCTCTGTAACCAAAAAAGTTCCTAACAATGAGTGCTGTACAAAAATGGAAAGCCCCAGTAGAGACAATAACAGTTGACATTTATACCATTCATATTGGGAAGGCTGAGTGGTACAGTGGAGAGACCGCTGTGATTGGAGTAAGAAAAACCTGAATTCAAATCCCACCTTAGATACTTACTAGCTGTGTTACCTCAGGCAAGTTATTGAGCTTCTGCCTCAGTTTCTTCACCTGTAAAATGGGGATCATAATGCTGCCTGCCTCACAGGGTTATTGCAATACTATTTGTAAACTTGTATGACACATAGTAGGCACTTAATTAATGCTTATTTCCTCCCTTCTGTCTTCCTCAATTTCCTCACCTGTAAAATAGAGTGATAATATTGTCTTCCTTCTGGGGTTGTTTTGAGGACAAAGTAAGGTAATATTAGTAAAGTGCTTTGTAAAACCCTAAAGCACTATGTAAATCCTAGCTATTGTTCTTATAATTATGGTAATTTATGATTTGTGAAGTACTATACACTTTTATTACGGTAGCTAGGTGGCACAGTTGGATAAAGTGCCAGGCCTGGAGTCAGAAGGACCTGAGTTCAAATCTAGCTTCAGACATTTATTAGCTGTGTGACCTTGGGCAAGTCACTGTTTGTCTCAGTTTCCTCATCTGTAAAATGAGTTGGAGAAGGGAATGGCAAACCACTCCAGGATCTCTGCCAAGAAAACTCCAAAAAGGAGACAAGAAGGACGTGTCTGAAGGACATAACTGAAAATGACTGAACAACAAATATTACATATAAAATTAACGTTATTAATTAATGTAAATTAATGCAAGATAAGATTATGTAATATATTTTATGTAATGTGTAATTATATTAATATTATCTTATATTTAAATATATAATTTTAAGATAATCACTTTAGAGTTTATAGGGGTCTAAGAAGTCATCTAGTCTAGTGCTATTAAATGAACGAACATTAATTAAGCACCTACTATGCGCCAGGCACTATCATTTTCCATAGGAAGAAACAGAGGCTCAGAGAGGTTAAGTTACTTGCCTATGATCACACAGGAAGTCAACAGTAAAGCTGGGATTAAAACCCAAGACCTTCAATTCCAAATCTAGCCCAGCTGACCCTCCTCTATCAAGCTGCCTCCCTCACTTGAGGTTTTCAGGCAGGGAGCTGCCTGGCCCTACCCTTGCAGGGTGGGTAGAGAGGGGATCTCATTTCCAGTGTGGCCCCTTCCAACTCTGACTTTCTGTGAGTTGAGGCATCCTCATTCAAACTGTGGACCAAAGACAAGGAAATCCTGGGCCCCTGGGATATTCTAGATAATCCAGAACACTTAGCAGAACCTTTCTGCCTGGTCAAGGGCGTGTTGGCTCTGATGCTGGGCCTGCCAGAACGGCGTCTGCTTTGTCTCAGGGTGGGGAAGCATCCTAGGGCCAAGACAAAGGCAGCGTGCATCCCATTTCTGAGCAGTTTCCCGTATCATAGCAACAGTTGTCCGTCTCCCTCCCATTGCATTTCTCAGCCACGTGCAGCACCTCCTTTGTGAATGCCTGGCCTGGAGCCCCCAGGTTCTACGAAATTCACCAGCTCCACAGAAAATTTGCAGCCTGGCCCACGAAAATCAGGATGGTTTTAAAACCAGAAGGAAACTAGTGATATTTGTGGGGGGTGAGACGTGGGGTGTTGTGGCATGTTCCTCTGCTCTACCCCAGCTGCTTCCAAGACCCCATGGCTATGCATGAAACTGAGGTTTCCCCTGGGACCCGAGATGGGGTTTCACAAGTCCAGGGATCACCTTCCATTGCTCTGGTGCCTGACTGGTTAACCCAGTGGAGAATCACACACGTTTGCAGGAGTAAAGACCTAAAGACCTAAAGATCTAGGGCTCTAGATGCTGTACCACCCTATTGCCTATTGTGTACTTGGCACTGTGAACCCCTTGAGACCAGGGACTGTCCCCCCCCCTTTTCTTTTTATCTCCAGCATTTAACACAGTGCCTGGTATGTGTTGTTGTTCAGTTGGGTCTGACTCTTCATAATGTACCACGCTACTCCCTCCCTCCCGGACCATACTGTTCTTGTTGTTTTCTTGGCAAAGACACTGGAGTGGCTTGCCATTTCCTTGTCAAGCTCGTTTTTCAGATGAGGAAACTGAGGCAAACAGGGTTAAGTGACTTGTCTAGGGTCACACATCTAGTAAGTGTCTGAGGACAGATTTGAACTCAGGTCTTCCTGTCTCTACCCACTGAGTACCTAGCTGCCTCCTCCTAGTACATGGTAAGCACTTAGTAAATGTTTGTGGATGGATGGACTAGTCCTGTGTTAGGCACTAGGGACAAAAAAAGTAAACAGTTCCTGGACTCAAGGAACTTCCATTCTATTTTGCTGCTGTCATCCCTTCCAACCCTGAGATTCTGGGGTGCTGATTCTGTGGGATTATGAAATCAAGTTAGGGTAGATTTGAGTGTTAAGTGGTTAAGCCCAAGTGTATTTCTTGCTGTTCTCCACATCCAGCACTTCAGACCATCTCTGTAGCTTTTTCCCAGGCTATGTGTGCCCCATGCTTGATGGGCACTCTCCTCCTTCCCACCCCTGAGAATCTGATGTCCTTCAAATATCAGCTTAAGTTGATCAGTGCTATAACTCGTATATACTTTGTATATAATTATTTCCATAGTATCTCTCTCATAGGACAGAAACTAAGAGGCTAGGTGGTACAGTGGGTAGAACACTAGACTTGGAATCAGGAAGAAATGCCTCAGATAGTTACTAACTGTGTCACTCTGGACCAGTTATTGAACCTCTGTCTGCCTTGTTTTTCTCCTCTGTAAAATGGGGCTAATAATAATAATAATATCTAACTCCAAGGATTGTTGTGGATAAAATCAGATGACGTACGTAAAGTACTTTGCCTAGCTTAATGCGCTATGTGAATATAATAATAATAACCATTATTATTACTTCCCTTAAGGCATTATAATAGTGGTTTAACAAATGGTTGTTGATTGGTGAACAAATTTGTGAAGAAGTATTGTGTATTCATTATTAAATTAATTATTAATTAATCAGGAAGAAGGAATGAGCTACCTTAGCTAGCTCTGTTGTTTTTTTCAGCTGTTTCTGTTGCATTTGGTTTTTATGACTCCATTTGGGGTTTTCTTGGCAAAGATGCTGGAGTGGTTTGCTATTTCCTTCTCTAGCTCATTTTGCAGATGAGAAAACCAAGGCAAACAATGACTTGCCCAAGGTCACACTGCTAGTAAATGTCTGAGGCTGGATTGGAACTCAGGTGTTCCTGACTCCAGGCCTAGAGCTCTAACCATAGCGCAATCTAGCTACCCTTAGGTGGCTCTGTACTCTCTTGTAAATGTCTCCTCTCAATCTATAAACATGTACATTCTCTAGGTTCACATGGTCATAGCTTTCAGGCTGGAAGGGACTCAAGGGGCCATTTAGTCAAACCTCCTCATTTTGCAGATGAGAAAACTGAGGCCCAGAGAGGTTATGTGACTTTCCTAGGGTCACACGACTGCTAAGTGCCTGAACTGATAAGTTGAACCCCGATTCTCTGACTTCAGACCCTATTGTATAAGGGAGGAGGGGTTATTTTATTTACTCCTGATAGAATTGAAAGTAGAGAGTCTTTCATTCTTCAGGTGCGGCTAGCCCCAGCATAGTGCCCAGCATGTTGTCAGTGCTTGATTAGTGTTTGTTGAGTTGAACTGAATAATCACATATTAATGGTGTGGTGGACAGACCAAACCAGGGTGTCCTAGGCTTTAGTTCATGCTCTCTTGTTAACTAGTGGTGTAAGCTTGGGTTGTTAACTAGCTATGTGATAGTGGAATTTTGTCCTCTAGTACTTGCTGATTAGATGATCGTGGGCAAATCACTTGATTTCTCTGAGCCTCAGTTTCCTTTGCAGTAAAATGGTACCCTGATATCTCCAGTAGCCAATTCATGTGGGGCAGCTAGGTGACTCAGTGGATAGAGCCTGCAGTCAGGAAGAACTCATCTCCCTGAGTTCAAATCTGGCCTCAGACACTTACTAGCTGTGGGACCCTGGGCAAGTCATTGTTTGCCTCGCTTTCCTCATCTGTAAAATGAGCCGGAGAAGGAAATAGTAAACCTCTCCAGTATTTCTGCCAAGAAAACCCCAAATGGGGTCATGAAGAGTCAGAAACGCCAGAACAACAACAAGCTAACTCACAGGATTGTTGTAAAAACCAAATATACTAAGCTCTGTAAACCTTAAAATGTCATGTAAATGCCAGGTATTACTGTGATCCAAATGCACTCAAAATGGGGATCTGTTTTTCCCTCCCTTTCTCACTTTCTTCCAGCCCCCAGCCCCCACCCCAGAGGAGGTGTCTCGGGTTCTGTCCTTTAGAAACTCTTCCCTTCCCTCCTCACGATGTTCTCCATGTCTGGCATTTTGGGAAGGCATTTAATGCCAACATTTCCCTGGAATGATCAAGGTCATTGAGTCTCTCTCAGGTCGGAGTCTCCCTGGGACAGGGGCAGGCAAATGGATAGATGTACGGGTGCCCTAACTGTGGGTGGGGAGGGAGGCTTCCTGTCTAGTGAAGGGGCAGGGCACAGAGGGGCTGCCTGATGGGCCCTAACCTCCGTCTCTCCGTCCTGCCAGCCCACTAACTCATCTTCCTCTCCCGGCTTCCTCTCTCTGCGCAGCTGACCGAAGGACACCAGGTGGCGCTCTCATCCATCAGTTATGTTGGCTGCTCCCTCTCCATCTTCTGCCTGACCATCACCCTGGTCACGTTCGCTATGCTGTCGTGAGTCATTTTCATTTTCTACCTACTGAGCAAACCTTCCCCCGGAATCTGAACAGCAGCATGCAGATGGCGGTGCCCACCCACCACATTTGGAGCATGGGTGGGGGCTGGGTTTGGCATCATAAAAGTGATGAGCACCTGGGACCCCCTTAATTATATTCTCCATATGCACTTGCCACAGACCATTAGTTGGTCCCCAATTACTTTCAATTTCCAGAGATGGGCACCTTTAAATAAATACCAGGTGATTTACTGGCAGCATGTTTGGCTGTACTCCCCGGCAGTCCCCCTCCATTCCCTAATAATTGGGGAAAGGTCAAGCGTTGAAGTCAGAGGGACCAGGATTCAAGTTACCTTGGGCAAGTCACCTGGCCTTCCTGGGCCTCAGTTTCCCCATTTGTAATGTCTTGGATTTGGGCTAGATGGTCTCTGAGGTCCCTTACAGCTCCAAATTTAAGATCCCATAATCCTAATTTGTGTGACCTTGGGCATGTCACCTGCCTGGGCCTCAGTTTCCCCATTTGTAAGATGTTGAAATTTGGTTAGTTAGTTTCTCAGGTCCCTTATTGCTCTAGATCTAAAAGTCTATGGGCCTAACTTATGTGACCTTGGGCAAGTCACTTCCCTGGACCTCAGTCTTCTCCTCTGTAAGATGGGGGGAGTTGAATTCATTGATGTCAGAGGTCCCTTCTAGTCCTAAATCTCTGGATACTGAATTCTGGACCAACTCTGTGAGGAGGCAGGGTTGCTAAGGAGCAGTGCCATGAAAAGAATGTTAAATTTGGAATCAGATGACCTCAGTTCAAAGACTGACTCTATGACTTTTCATTCATTCATTCAATAAACATTTGTTAAGTACCTGCTATGTGCCAGGCACTGTGCTGAACTCTGATTTAAGAGAATTTCCATCATACCATGCACTACCAACAGAGTGAAGAAAATGGCCCCGGGGAGTCACTGTGGCATCATGGAAAAAGACTGGCCTTGGAGACGCTGGGGTTCAAACTGTGGCTGGGATCCATATGAGCTGCGAGACCTTGAGCAAGTCACTCCCTCACTTCCTCTACAAAATGAGGGGGTGTATTACATGACCCCTAAGATCTTTTCCTGCTCTAAATCTATGACCCATTTTGTAACCTTCTTGCTTTGATGCCCAGGAAAGAAGGCTATGGGCTGGGATGGTAAAGAGCTGTGTATAGCTCAAACTGTGCTGGAAAGGATTATGTGAATTATTCTAATTATGGGAGAATGGAGCTAAGCTCCTTGAGTGTAGAGATTGTTTAGTTTCTTGTATTTGTATTCTTAGCTCTTAGCATAAAGCCTAGAACACATAATAGACACTCAGAAATACTAGCTGATTGGGATTCCCATGGCAAATAGTCCACTCTCTTCTAATCTACAGTTTTTGGAGTCAGAAGACCTGGGTTCTAATCCCATCTCTGGTACTTACTTCCTGTGTCATTTGGGGTAATCCATTAACCTCCCTGGGCCCCGGTTTCCTCACCTGTCAGATGAGAAGGTTGGGCTAGATATCCTCCTAGAGCTATGATCCTAGGATTTTCAGACTTGGTTTTTATTCCTCCCTTCCCCCCACCCCAAACCATTGTTTCATTTCTATAGATCTGTAGGTAGAACCAAGGATAAATACATCAGATCCCATTATCCCTCTGCCAGAGCCTGAGCAATCATAACATGGAGGCATTGAGAGGCCATACCTAAGCATTGAAGATATCACAGAATCTTAGACCTGGAAGGGGCTGGCTCTGGAAATACAGCTAGTACATAGCAAAGCTGGGATTTGAATCCCAGGCTCTCCAAGGCCTATGCACTTCCCATTGCACCATACTGCCCCTCCCTCATTCTCTCTCCCTTTCTTTTCCACCCCTCACCCCCCCACCTTCCTCAGTCTCTAATAATCCAAAGACAACATAGTACAATGAAAAGAAAGTAGAAATTAAGAGTCCTGGGTTACTACTCTGTCACTTAGATGTTTTATGACTTTGGGTAAATTACTTCCTCTCTCTGGGCCTCAGTTTCTCTAAAGGCAGATAGATGGTTTAGTAAATAGAGTGATAGATTTAGGCTCATGAGGACCTGCCCCAGACACTTACTAATTGAAATCCTGAGCAGGCCACCTAATTTCTCTAGGACTCAGTTTCCTCATCTGTAAAAAGGGGATAATAATGGCACCTACCTCCTAGGATTGTTGGGAGAACAAAATGAGATTACATATATGTGTATGTGTGTGTATGTGTGTGTGTTTGTATGTGTATGTATACATATACTACATATATGATATATACATATAACTTTATATGTATATATGCATATGTAACTGCAAACCTTAAAACACTATAGAAATACTAGTTATTGTTATTGTTATTATGAGATTCAAACTATATGATTTCAAAAATCTCATCAGGGTCTGACATTTTCCCCACTGTCTCCTCCTCCCTTCCCTCTTCCTTCCTGGGCTCTATTGTTTTCTGGAAACTCAGTGTGGGTAAAGCTCAAGGCTCCTGGATATCCCCCTCTCACCCTGCCTCCTCCCTGGTCAACTTTGGGCCTCTGTAGTACAGGACCTTGGGCCCCATCCTAGACACCTACCTATAGTGAGTTCTGGACCTCTTCAGGTCAGTCATCACTTCATTGGTATCTTCCAGGACTATTTCCCCACGAGTGGCCTAATGGAACAATCAGATTTCAGGGGTCTTGCTGTTGGGAGGTGGCAATAAGTAGCATCTTGTAGATGCTGTCATTCACTGGGATATGAGTTCTTCACTCAGTGTCTTAGGGAAAAAAATGGTGGCAGTGGGGAAATTGAGAAAGGAAGAATCAGGAAGGAGAATATGAGGAGGAAATAGTTGTGCTGTCGGCTCACTAACCAGAGATGCAGCTTGCATGTAACCTATCAGGGCTGCCTATCACAGGTGAAATTACGGTGCTTTTTTTAAACGACTGAATAGTGGCAAAGAAATGAGTTTCACATCTGTTCCTGAGCATTTAACATCTTCCTATTGTGCAGAGTTTATCTCTCTCTCCCCTCCATAACAAACTGGGTGTTTCAACTACTCTTGGCTTCTGGAGGATGGCGGCCCCTCCCTGCTCTTCTTGTTCCCTTGGAGATACCTGTAGTTGGGTTGGAGCCTGTGAGGGACTTAATACCAAGCAGAGCCAAGTTAGCTTCCTGGGAACCTGTCTGATGAAGAAGCTGGGCAGTTTATCAGCCTCCCCAAGCCCTAGGGCTACCCCTGCCCTTCAGAGCACTCGGGGCATTTGGATTGAGTCAGATACCACTGCTACACCTGCACGCACACACATATTCCTTTTGTGGCTGAAGGAGGAATGGATGGGGAAGGTGAGTTGTGACACATTAGGAAAACTTCCTGGAGCAGCCACTAGGGAACAAGTTTTAGGGATATAGGAGCATTAAATGCTGAAAATGGAGGGTCGATACAGATAGGATGGGAGAGAAAGTGTGGGAAAAAAACTCATTTGCTATTTAGGGCAATGAGATGGTGCAATGGATAGTATGCTGGGCCTAGAGTCAGGAGGACCTGAATTCAAATATGGCCTCAGACACTTTCTAGTTGTGTGACTTCAGCAAGATGCTTATATGGATGGACAGACAGACAGATAGATAGATAGACTGATAGATAGATAGATAGATAGATAGATAGATAGATAGATAGATAGGTAGATAGATAGATAGATGGATAGATGGATAGATAGATAGATAGATAGATAGATAGATAGATAGATAGATATTACTAGTAATGGTAAAGCACTCTAGTTAGCAGGGGGTGGTAGAAAGAACATTAGAATTGGAGAACAGGTTCAAATCCAGAATTTCCCATTTATTATGGCAGTCAGTTCACAAGCAGTTATTATTAAGTGCTTACTGTGTGCCAAGCATTGTACTAAGCATTGGGGGGTACAAAGAAAGGCAAAGACACAGCCCCTGCCCTCAAGAAGCTCACATTCTAACAGAGTAGCCAAAAGAAAGTCAATATAGAAACAACTAGATTGTTTATGTGTAAGATCTGTACCGTGTAAAGAGCAGATGATCTCAGAGGGAAGGCCTTCTGCAGAAAGCAGGGTTTCAGCTGTGTTTGACCTGGGTAGATGACTGCTCTGGATCTTCATTCTTCCCTTTTAAATGATGGGGTTCCCTGATTTCATAATGTCAGAACTGAACTCTCTAGTTCAACTCACACTTGACTAAGAATCCATTCTTCAACTTAGCCAACAAGTGGTCACCCAACCTGTGCTTGGAAACATACAGCAAGAGGGTACCTACTCCATTGGAGGTAGTCCACTTGGGGACAGTTCTGAGTGTTAGGGAGTTTTTTATTTTTATTGTTCTTGATGTCCAGCCTACGTTTGTCTCTTTGTAGTTTATACCCTTTGCTCCTGGTTCTGCCCTCTAAGTCCAAGCTAAATAAATCTAATCCCTCTTCCATATGACGTCCTTTCAAATAGTATAATCAATCAATCAATCTATAAATATTTATGAAGTACCTACTATGTGCCCGGCACTAGACACGAAGGATACAAATATACAAATATAATATATACATATATACAATATAAAATATAAAATCAAGACTGTCCTTGCCCTCAAGGAGCTTACATTCTGCTGAGCTTAAAAAAATGCTCATAGATATGGAAATATAGAATATGGATTCCCAAAATACAAATTATTTCAGTAAGGTCCTATATTAACAATTGCAGGGATGAGTCTTGAAAGGATCTTGGATTTCTAAGAGGCAGAAGTGAAGAGAGCTTCTATACATTCCAGGCATCGGGGGTCAGCCTGTGTAAAAACATGTGGGCAGTCGCGGACATAGCATGTCCTGAAGAGGGAACAGGAAGTGGGTCAATGTGACTAGAAAGGAAAGTAATATTATCCCTCCCATGCCTGCCACCTACCCCATCCCCAGCAGAAGTGCAAGATTTTTTTCTTCTCCAAGCTGAACAACACTAGTTCTTTTAAACACTTAAAATTGTCATGTGATGGCATCATCATCATCATCATTGTCTTCGTCATCATCATCATAGCTAAAATTTCTATAGCACTTTAAGGTTTGCAAACGTTTTACATATGTTATCTCACTAGATCTTCACAACAACCCTGGGAGATAGGTTCGGTTATTATCTCCAGTTTGTTATTGTTTGTCAACAATGACAATAACAACAACAACAATCTCCAGTTTAAAGAGGCAACAAGACAGAGGGCAGGGAAGTAACTTGCTTAGGGTCACATAACTAAAAATAATAATAAAATAATATTAACTAGCAGTTACATAGCACTTACAACGTGCCAGGCACTGTGCTAAGCACTTTACAAGTATTATCTCATTTGATCCTCACAACAACCCTGGGAGGTAGGTGCTATTATTATCCCCATTTTACAAATGAGGAAACTGAGGCAAAAAGAGGGTAAGTGCCTTGCCTAGGGTCACACAGCTAGTAAGTGTTTGATGTCAGATTTGAACTTAGGTCTTCCTGACTCCAGGTCCAGCACTCTATCCACTGAACCACTTTCCACGAAGTCAAAATCCTTTCCATGAAATCAAAATCCTTCCCCATTGTTGTCCTCCTCTAATTGCCTTCCAATTGCAATGGATGATCGCTAAAGTCCTTTTATGCCTCTACATCCTATGATATGGATGCCAACAGAAAGTGGAATCACAGAATAAGAATGAGAAGAATCCTTAGGACAGAGAATGTCAGATCTGGGAGGGCCTTTAGGACAGAACTAGGAGGGACATTTCAGAAACCCTCTGGTTCAAACTCTTAATTTTACATATGGAGAATCTGAGGCCCAGAGAAGGTAAGTGACTTACCCAAGGTCACTCGGGTAGCAAGTAGCCGAGGTGGGATTTGCACCAAATCATCTGACTTCAAATCCAATGCCCTTTTCCCCACGGCAGGCTGCCCCTCAATTAATTATACTAGGCATTTCCTGGATGTTGGGGTACATAGGAATTCTGAAGCACTATGTTACTGTCTGGCATCAAGTAGCCCTAGGTTATATGGCATAGAATCAGGCACTTCCTGTCTCCACTGATGGAACTTCATAATTTTAAAGGATTGACTTGCAGTTTGGTGAAGCTTCATTTTTTGCATACAGATAAGGTTTATTCCTGGAGTAATGCATTACCCTCTCTCCCCACCTCTGCTCCTCAGCACCTTCCTGTCTTTTCAAATTACGCAAGAGACGCTGGACAGGGCCATTTACGGCTGATTTCTTTTTGCTTTTTTCTTTCTCCTACTTATTCACCCTGGATTAACAGGGAAAAACAAAACAAAACAAAACAAAAGCAAACATTCTGGGGGCACATACTATTCCCACCATCAGAGGCCTAGCTACTTCCCATGTCATCATGTTCCCCATGTCCTCCCCATGGAAAGGGCTGGGAGTAGACATCCCTGATGGTATCATCAAAGCAGCCTTACAGAGGCCAAAAGGATCCACCCTTGGGTCTGGAACATACTATTCCTGTACAGAGCAGCCTCTGTGGCCAAGGGTGAGGAGGGGTCTAGATTGGAATACGCCAGATATCTTTGAAATTGAAATGAGCATCTCATCCTTGGCACTTAGAGGCTGGTAGCTATGACTTCTATATTTTCAGTCCTTAAGGAAACCACTCAAAAAAAATTATCTTTGGCAAGTTCGCAGTAGTAGTAGAATATTCACTGCTATACTAGATCTATGAACTTGGGTTCATATTCTGCCTCTGATATTTATTACCTATATAACCTTAAGCAAGTTACTTCACTTCCCTGGGCCTCAGTTTTCTCATCTATAAAATGAAAAGTTTGACTTAGGTGCCCTCTGAAGTCCCTTCTAGCTTTAGACATATGATTCTATGATCTTACAATAAGTCAGGAAAGAGCCAGGAGACTTGTGCTCTCATTCTGATTATAATCCTTGCTTCATTTTTTAGCTCAGTCAGTACCATCCGAAACCAGCGCTACCACATCCATGCCAACTTGTCCTTTGCCATTCTGGTGGCCCAGATCTTACTTCTCATCAGTTTCCGATTTGAGCCAAGAACAGTAAGTAGCCAAAAGAAATGACCATTTTTGTGGATTAAATGTATCAAAACCCTCCTCTGAGATCTTTTTCTGGAAAAATTCAAGAATGGACCATTCAAGTGATGGAGGATAACGAACATCCAGAAAAAGAAGTGGTGATTACAAAAAGCTATAAGGTTTCATCAAGAATATGTCATGCCAGACTAACCTTATTTCTTTTTTTGACAGGGTTATTAAACTAGGAGATGAGAAGAATGCTATAGATATGGTTTGCCTAGACTTTAGCCACGTATTTGATAAAATAGCTCATACTGTTCTCAGAAAAGATGGAGAAATGTGGCCTAGAAAGCAAGACAATTAGATGGATTTGGAAGGGCTTGAACGGTTCTATTTAAAGAGTCATCGTTAATGGTTTGATGTCACCTTGGCTAGGAAATCTCCAAATGAGTCCCCTAGGGATCTCTTCTTGGTTCTGTGCTGTTTAATATTTTTTACCAATGTTTTAGAGAAAGGTATAGAGAGGATGTTTATGGAATTTGGGAGTGACGCCATGCTAGGAGGGCTAACTAACACGTTAGGTGAAAGACTCCGGATCCAAAAAGATTTTGAAAGGTTATTATGCTAAATAAAATGCATTATGGTAAATCTAATAAGATGGAATTAAATGGAGATAAATGTAAACTCCTACCCTTGGGTTCAGAAAGTCAACTTCCCCAGTACAGCATTGGAGAGGCATAGTTAAGTATCGTCTTGTTTGAGAAAAGTCAAAGGGGTTAAGTGGAATCCAAGCACAAGATAACTAAGCAGTGTGATGTTACAGTCAAAAAAGCTAATACGAATTTGAATTTCTTTAAGAAGAATACAGCTTTCAGGAAGAAAGAGGCGATAGTCTTGATGTAATATGTCCTGATCAGATCTCATCTGGATTATTGTGTTCAGTTCTGGATACCATGGTTTAAGAAGGATGTTGATAAGGTGAAGAGTGTCCCGAGGAGGATAACCAAAATGGCGGCATTCCTCAAGCTCTTATTGTATAAGAATCACCTGAAGGAAGTGGGGATGTTTAACCTGAAGAACACAAGACTCAGGAGGACATGATAGTTGGTTAGAGTTTTTCTGCTTGGCCCCAGAAGGCAAGAACAGAACCAACGGGTGCAAGTTGCAAAGACACCAATTAGCCTTAAAGTCAGGAAATACTTCTTAACAATTACAATTGTCCCCAAATGGAATGGCCTGCCTCCATTCCAGGTAGTGGAGTCCTCTTCCTTGAAGATCTTCTGGAGGATAGGCATGCTTTATAGGGATTTGGCTGGACAATACTGACTCAAGGTCCCTTCCAATTCTCAAATTCTGTGACCCGCATAGGCATTGATTGTTAACTATGATAGCGCAAAGGATAGTGTCAATGGAGTCACAGCTGTAAGGTACCAGTTAGTAACTGTCACTTTATGAAAGAGGGCAGACTAAATTCCTTTTATATCTCATTTTATCCAGCTGTGGAATAGGGAGGAGAGGATCTTGAATGTTCCTTTCATCTCTAAATCCTGGAATCCTTTGTGGAAAAAAAAAAAACAATTAGATTATAGAACCTATTGACACACAGACATTCTTCTACTTTGCATAACTAAAGTAGAGCTATAACTAGGGTAGGTCCATAGGGCTTTGTTCCAGGTTGGGAAATTTATAAGGGGCTGATACCAGAGTCCCACAGTACATCTATTGCTCTGATCATCATATTCCTAAGGTAGTATAAGCTTTGTACTGGGAGAGCTTTCTCTTTCTTCAAAAGTTTAGAAACCCCATGATGTCCCTATGTCTCCTGGTGGCCATATTTTAGGGATAACTTTTCCTGATGCCAATTGTTCCAGATGCAGCCATTATGAATTACACTCTGCCTATCCTCCATATCTCCTTTCCACCCAATTCTGAACTCTTCCTTTGAGACATTAGTTCTGATGATTGGGCCTTCCCCTTCTCTTGGCCAGAGCTAGGCCTCTCTGTTACTTCCCAGCCATTTCCAAACCTTGCTGTTGAGTGCATAAAGGTACCTTCTGCCCTTCTCACCCCCTTCCCTCTTCTTAGCTCCCTGTATATGTTGCTTTCCCACACTAGAATACAAACTCCTTGAGGGCAAAGACTGTTTTGCTTACTTATTTTTGTGACTCCAGCACTTAGCACTTAGTAAACATTTATTAAAATTTTTTCTCTTCTTCCTTCCTTCCTTCCTTCCTTCCTTCCTTCCTTCCCAATCCAACCTCTCCTCTCCTCATCTTCTCACTTCAAATTTATTATAATTTTATTATTCAAATTTATTATAAATGAAATCTTGACCAAAGTCTGGCCAGAAGCATGTATCTGAAGTGCAGCCAGGGGGACTGGAGATAAAGGATATATCTGACTGTAAGGACTGACAACAGACCCCTCATCTGTGTGGTTCTGTGAGAGCCCTGATTGATGAACTGGAGCCAGTAGGTGACTGTTTTTGACTCAGTCTTTAGAAGAAAGAAACCAGTGAAGCAGACTGATTCACATCAGGAGACAGAGCTTTTTTGGGTAGAGCTGTAGAGGCTCAAATCTCTGGCAAGAAGTAAGCAGCATGTTCTATTGATCTGAACCCTGCTAATGAGTTAGCCAAGGCCACCATCTTGCCCTGATTTTGAGATAACAGGAATATTATCAGCAAGGAATCTTTCTTCCCCTGTTGGGAAACAGAGCAGCCTATACCAATGTAAGAGTGAGAAGCTAGAGTTGGTTATGCAAATATATGTAAACACACTTAAATGTAGCCAGTGGCTGGTTTTTTGCTCCATTTTGGATGACTTTCAAAGGTTCACAGTGCTAACCCAGAGGTCTCACACACAGTACATGCTCAATAAACTTTGCTTGAATTGAATTGAAGGTTTGATTCTAGTAAAGGCTCATTTTCTTCTCTCTGTTTCCTGGCCAGAGACTATATGGCCACCCCTTGCCCAGACACCTCCCAAGTGTGTGTCCTTGGTCACAAGGAAGGCTGGTAAGAGAGTGAGGAGAGTGTATAGAATCCCTGAAAATCCCACCCCACTACAGAGAAGCAAGTTGACTGACAGTGGGTCAAGAATATTACCTTTAAGGGGTAGGTAGGTGGTGAAATGGATAGAGCACCGGGCCTGGAGTCAGAAGGACCTGAGTTCAAATCTAGTCTCAGACCAGACACTTGACACTTACTAGCTATGTGACCCTGGGCAAGTCACTTAATCCCATTGCCCAGCAAGAAAATAAATAAAAAATATAAGAATATCACCTTTCTTCAAAAGGTTGAAATTTTTAGTTACTCATGGGAATAGTGACATCTCTTTTCAATAGTTATTTTAGAGAAACCCAGAGTTAGGAGGTACCTCAAAAAAGAATTTCTTTCATAACATACCCAATATACCTACCTACTCATTATGTTATCTTTGCTTCAAGAGCTCCAGGGAAAGAGGACCCACTATTTCCTGGAGCAGCCCACCCCAATTTGGGCTACTGTAATTGCCAAAAAGTGTCTTTTATATCAAATGAAGTAAGGTTTGTAAAGCATTTTGCAAACCTTAAAGTTCCATATAAATGCTAGCTGTCGTTGTTGTTACATGGAGTTTTACTTGACTTCATTGCAGATATATGGTGTTGAATGTCTCACCACCCCCACCCTCAATCTACAGCTACAAAGTAAACAGCACGGCTTCCTTTTGGTGACTTTGGCAGCTAATTGGTACAGTGGGTAGGGTGTTTGAGTTGGAATCAGAAAGAATTGAGTTCAAATTCTGCCTAAGATGCTAAATAGCTACATTTATAATAATTACAATTATAAGCCACTTAACATCTCTTTGCCTCAGATTCCTCATCTATAAAATAGGGATAATAGACTTCACTTCACAAAGATGTTGTGAGGGTCAAATTGAGATAACATATGTAAAGTGCTCTGCAAACCTTGAAACGTATAAATGTTAGCTATTATTATTTGTTCTTTTGCATGAATATTTTAAATTAATAAAAGCATTCATTATGTGTTTATGTGCTAGCTGTCTGCTAAATAGGTGTCATGAGGGTTCCATTTGTCAAACTCGCCCTTTATGTAGGAGATACAAATGTGCAGACAATCCCTGCCTCCAAGGAGCATGTATTCTAAATAGGGGAAAATAACACCTCACACTGTACAGTGTACAGAAAAGAGGGTGACCAGGTAGCCCCTGAATGAGGTAGGAAGCAAGATCTGGCCTGGGATTGGGTGCAGCATTTATAATAGCCTTCATAATTTTGTATACACCACTCAGGAATCAGGACAGCTTAGCCAAAAGCTGACTTATTAATCCCAAAGCTGAGTGTGTTTGGTTCCCCAGGGCATGGTCTCTGGTGGTCTAGTGTTCTGGAGTACATGTCCCCAGAGCAGGCAGAAAAAAAGTGGCTAGGGTGGGTGGCTGGGCGGGGTGTGAAGTATTTCCAAGAAATCTTTTTTCTTTTGCCTCATTCCCTTTCTCTTTCTCCAGAATGCTTTTGAGAATGCAGGCTGAGTTTTCTGAATAGTATTGTGAGAAGGGGGTACACCAAGCTTTACCCATGGGCCATTTTTCGGGGTTCTCCCTAGCACAGAGCTACAGAAAACTGCAAATGGGATCATGAAAAGTTGGACATGACTGAAAAGACTCAACAACAAATCGTTATTAGTTGCTATTTAGAAAACAGCCCCTCTGTCTTTATATTCCCAGAACCTGGCACATAGTACTTAATAACAGCCTGCTGCTTGTAGACTGATCAATATTCACCTTTCCTGTCACATTTAGCAGGTCACTTTTAAATCTCACCAGGTTGTGTCTATAGTTTGAAGACAACTCCTATTTCCAAAGTTTATTTCATCCCCTCATTCTGATCTTCCCACCTCTAAGAGCTGTGGCCTGGCCAGCTGGCAGCAGGGACGATGGACTCCAGAGGTCCAGAGAGAAGGGCTTGGTTCAGCCTCATGACTTGCACTGATTAGTGACACATGGCCCATTTGCTTCTCCAAAATT